GTCATTCGGCAGGTAGCAAAAAAATGTCGGATCTACTCGGTAAAACTTTATACACTCGGTTAAAAGTAACATATTGTATAAGAGCTTATGATAATATTTGGTTGGTCAAATCGAATTAAGTGAAGCAGGATTTGAACCCGAAATCCTTAACTTGGATATCGAATGAGCCAAATCTTCCCTATGCATACTCATAATGCGAGAAAAAATGTAATCTGGTTGACGAAACTTCGACAGGTAAAGTCACATTCCAGCTTATGGTATAACAGATAAAAATGGAGTGAATGCTGGGAGTAGTAAAGATGATGAGACAGTACTGGTTAAGTAACGCGAGAAAATTTTACAAGTTATATTTAGTGAATTATCTGACATACGTGGCTCCATTGATAACGATTTACCAAATGCTTTGTGAAGTAAGTTAACGGCCAGCGTTTATCCAAACTTCATATCAAACACAAATTTTGCGAAAAACCATGTGGTTGAGGTTTCGTAACACATCTGTAATCATACAAATCCTATTTGTGCACTCTTAACTCTTTTCGATTGATTTCATAATTAAATGTATATTCACGTCTTATCTCGGTGTATTCTCCTCCAAGTTTGCATTTACCCCTTTTGCTTTACCCCTACAACGCTTTATGTGATGGTTAAACAGAAATCCACCAACAAATGCACTCTACAAACATACCATAGTAGAAATGACTAAAATTCCCAACAGGATATTTTTGAAGTTAGAGAAGCATGTTTATATTTTTTTTATCAACATCAAACTGTGGCCAGTAAGAAAAAATTACCATAAATAACACACTGAGTTTCCCAAGAGATAGAATCAGTGAAGAACCTCGCACACAAGTGCACCGGCTCAAGTGGCTACACTTCACAGTACTGCACAAAGAGCATGTGAAAAGAAAAAGAATGATATCAAGGTAGAAAAGGCTATGTGGGAGAATAAACAATCTGATGATAACAACTAGTGCAAACATTCAAACGTTAGAACATGTCAGAGTGAATACATCTACGCCATTGTGACCGATTTTCAGCCATATCACCAAGAATTCTTAATCACCGATTTTTTTCGTCTCGGGAACCCCAACCACGCAGTCTACATCTCTTCACACAGCTCCTACCAACAGTCACAGGCTACGTCGACTGGTGCCACGATTCAGTCGGGTCACCCTGAATCATCTTCCAACCTAATCCAACATCCCTCAACAGCCACCTACATCGAGTACGCGGTGACTCGGCATGTGTAGTACATATCCAAGCCATAACAGTCGATTAAACTTCACAACCTCATCAATCAACTTGACTGCCCTAACAAGTACCCTTCAACTGACTTCAACATTGATCACATGGTGATTCCACTAAACACAAGCAATGCTACGAAGACACCTATAGTCAAAACCTGTAGTCTCTTTTTAGCTCCTACTTTTAACAGCCATGTCTTGCAACCGTATAACATGACAGAACGGACTGTAGCAATGTATACTCGGTTTTAATGGGTATTTAAATATCCCGCCAGTTGGCGCATGAGATGACCCAAGTTGGACCTTCTGTATGTCAGATGAGATTTCGTCAGCAACCTTAGGAGTATTCCGAGACACAATGGCTAGCTCTCGTGGACTGGCTGATGTAGGCATAACATTGAGCTGTAGGGCATAAAATACGCTTCTCGACTGCTCTCGACTAAACAGCCGTCTATGAGCTGTTCGATTGAATCGATCTGTAAAGAGTGTGAAGGATGGTGAGACTAGGCGATGTCTATTCGTAATCTCCGCATAAGCACCCACTGACTGAAGTTCAGATGAAGTGAAGGATAAATTCTATGAGACATCAATTTTCCTGAAGAAAGAGATACGTTTAGATATAGTCGTAACGGCAGGTGACCTTAAGACTAAAGCAGGAAAGTTTATTCAGTCGGAAAGGCGTATTAGATACACATGTGGGATCTCATGCCAACGAACCGACAACAGTGGTAGTCTTTTGCAATTTTGCTTCAACAATCACTTCTGGCCATTGCTTAATCAATGCATAAGGAAAGGCAGTCTCAAACGGCGTCCATCGACTTCAAATCAACGACAGATACAGATGAAATTGCTAGAAATCATCAGTGGAAGATTGGTACCCTTTCGGGAGCAACTGTTCGGACTCTAATCACACGTTAGCACGAGTAGGTGTCCGTGATTATTGGTGGCAGAGAAAAGGCGGCAGTAAAACTTGCATATGCTCGATTGAAAGATGACGCTAAATACGTATTTAGGGCAGAGTTAAATGAGCAATGTCCACCCTAATGAAACCCGGAGTGATTTTAAGTCTGCTGTTGAAACAGTGGTAAAGACATGGTTAACATACATGCGAAGGTTGGCTAACATCATTGGATTTTCGTGACGTTATCCGAACTGAGTGATGTGAGAAGACTGATTCCAGCTGACTATGGCCACGATGAAGAGCGAAATCGACTTAAACGTAAGTGAACGAAGAGTCTTCACAATAACTGCGATCAATGGTGGATGGCGAAAGCAAAAGAGATGGAGAAGGTATCAGCTTTGAGTAACACTCGCCAACGATGGTTAGTGAAATCATCACCGAAAAGGACTGTACCCTGTTAACCCACAGCAGAGGCGGCTAGAACGTTGGGCGGAATACATTGAAACCCAGTTCAACCGACTCTCATCAACGATTCACTTACCCAACACCTAGCCTGATCCTAAATAGGATGTTGATATCGGTCTCGCAACTCTCGCTGAAGTTGAGAAAGCTGTGTTGAACCTGAAACGATGGAGAGCAGCAGGACCTGACAGATTGCCATGAGAAGCTATTAAGGAAAGAGGTAGAAAACTACGGAGTAGGGTAGTGAATATACTAGGTGGTGTATGAGAACCAGAGATAGTGCCGTCAGACAGGTCTACTTCACCCATCGTTTTAATCTATAAAAAAGGGGAGAAATCTCGTAGCAACCATAAGGGGATGTGTTTAACTAATGTCGTGTCCAACATCCTGAGGTGGATAGTCATCCGACGTCTAACCAGAGATTTAGAACAGCAAACTAGAGAAAAGCAGGCAGATTTCAAACCTGGATGAGGATCCACTGATCAGATCTTCACTCTTTGTTAGGATATGGAACACAGGCACTTTACCAGCAGCCGATACTTGCCATATTTCTTGACCTGAAGGTAGCATTCGAATGTCAACCGTGTTGGTGTAGCAGTGTCTGATTGTGAAGGGAGTAGCGAGCAAGTATATAACACTAATCAAAGCTTTTTACTGGAACTCACACAGCCGTGTGACATACAAAGCTATGATCAGAACTACTGATGTCCACCTTGGACACCAGCTGTCACCACTTCTGTTAAACCCACTAGTAAATGTACTGACGGACATCACTGGCACGTCTGAAGTCATAAGGATTTACCTTCCTGAAGGTCATCTGGTTGACTTGAAGTATGTAGACGATATTTTTTGTGTTGGGTGGAAGTGCTGACAAAATGTAGGGTTTTCTGAAAGCCTGGGGCGGAAATCTGAATATATTTAGCATGAGTTAGAAAATGAGTATACAACGCTGCAGTCCATTCTGTCCCGTTTTACGGTTGTGAAATATGACCGTTAAAAGTAGAAGATAAGAAGAGACTACAGGTTTTGACTTCGTAGCATTGCTTACGTATGATAAAATCATTACATAAGCAGTGTGAAGGTTAGGCAAAGGGTATCAGGCAAGACATACGCATCAGTCGGTGACGTTATGAACATCTGGCGACTGAGGTGGTTTGACATGCGTTACGTATGCCGATGAGCCAACTACCTCGACGTGCAATGCTAGGGGAAGCTGGAATAAGTTGGCGGAGGTCTCAGGGTAGCAAGACCAAAACCTGTCAAGTCTCTGAATCTGAGCTATGTAGGGAGGTGGAAACCACCTGACTGAAGTCCCTAAGATCATAGAAACTATAGGCTTCTCGCTTTACGCTGATAACCTGCGTAAAATTATCACACGGAAACCCAAACTCTTCATTTTGAGAAATGCACACTTCAGTCATATTAGCATGATATTTATTGATTCGACAGTTCAAGATTATTCAGATTAACGCTCAAGCCTGGAATGATTTTTGATTTCATCATGAGTTTGCGTGTTTCTGTTTTTGCAAAACTACAGTATTCTCAACCCCTTAGGCATCTGAATAGGTTTGGGAAGCCTTGTGTTACTGGTTTCCCACTCTCTAATTCGGATTGGCAAGGAGTCAGTAAGACTTTAATAATCGTGTTACCTCCACAAAAAGTCAGTCAGCACTTTTGGGACACGTGTCCCAAAACATTTTCGTCGGACTAACGATGGGCCACTCAACAAAGAGAACGGGCCAAATGAAGTGCCTGAGGTTAGGCTTTGTGACGTCTTCCTACGTTTGGCTGGATGTTTCTAGACCAAGCACATAGCCCCTATACCTGGCCCCAAGTTTTAACCGTTGGCCCAACATTCAAACTTCTAGTTTTTGAACACTCGCTTTCAGATCTTGAAGCATGGTTCTTTCCATTTAGTTATACTCCTTCGGTAGTCGCAGAAGTCATTATTTTTCCTGATTATAGCTTAGGAGGTAGTGAATGTCTATTTGACGGTATTTTTTCCTGCGAATTGTGGCTCGGTTTGTTTGGAGAAGCAGAGGAGCCACTGATAAGGTCAACTAACCTCTAGCAATTTCTCTTATTGTAATCACTTTCGTAGCATTACATTCACATTCAGTGATACGATAATTCTCAAGGTGGCCCTACATCCGGCTTCATTGGACGAACGTTTCGCTCTATGTATACTACACATGGCCCCTTATTCAATTCACGACACAACGCTGGGCCTAATTTTGTCTTATTTGGCTCCACCAAAGTGTTGACTGGGGGATTCACTCTGTACAGCTCAATACATGTACTGGATGTCATGTACTACATTTGGCACTACACGAAATGACATACCGACCAATAAACAAAAAAACTTTCTGCGAAGATACACAACTATGATCTACCTCGAGTTAGACGACTCAGTTGCAGATAACTTTGAAGTTCCTTTGAAGCGTAAGCTTCTGAGAAACGCTCCGCATTCAATATACAACATCTCTGTCCAGCAACCAACATGAATAGTGTGGATAGAGAGAGTTTTTTCCTCTCGCTTACAGATTTTGAAGCTCAATCCTTTTTGTTCGGTTGTACACTTTCAATGGTAGCAGAAGTTTTCGCGCCTTCCTGCTTATAGTTTTGGAGGTAGTGTTTGTCTATTTCCAATACCCACTATTCCAATATCCAATATTGATAGTGCGAGCGTAGAAAACTGGTAGTTTTTGATCTCTCGCGTCTAGTTCTTAGGGCTTGGTTCCAGTTGTTCGGTTTACTCCTGCAGTGGACGAGGAAATCCCCTCTGCTTTCTTGCTTTTAGCTTCGGTGAGGTGGATGTTTTGTGGGTTAGTAGGTTGTAATTTGTAGAGTGATTAGGGAGCTACGGGCTGCTGGGAAGTTTAGAGAACAACCGTGACTCCTGTCTGTGTAGGTACCTGAAAGAGAATATTAAGGTAGTGGTAAAGGAATGAAGAGAGAAATAAGGAAGAGAAAAAAATAAATAAATAAATAAAAATAAAAATAATAGTAATAATAATGTAGGGAAGAGAAAAGGGAAGGAGAAGAAAAGAAGGGGTGAAGAGAGAAATGAGAACGAAAGAAAAGTATTTGGGAATTGCCCGAATGGTCGCGTGGGTTTGGTTCCTACAGAAGAATTAGTAGGTAATGTGGGTGTATTAAGGAGAGAGATAGTGAGTGGTAGTTAGGAGGGAGTTGGGGGTACTGAGGTTGGTGACTACCTGAGTACGTCCGTGGTAGTCCATGCGAGGTGACATAACTGTCTAATCGCCTCTTGAAAGAGTCGATTGAAGGAGCTATAACGATGTGTCGCGGTAAGGCATTCCATAAAGCACATACTCTTAGGGAGAAAAATTTGGACCTGAGTGTGGTGTTGGCTCTCTGGTGTGCTATCTTAATGGGGTTTCCTCGTGAAGATCGTTCAGTTGCAGGCAAAATTGATTTGTTTGCATGGTCTGCCTGATGGGCGATCTTGTATGCCATAATGAGGTCACCCCTTTTCCTGCGATAACCCAAGGTAAATAGGTTGAGGTGTTTAAGTCTTTCAGGATACGTCTTTCCCCTTAGCCCCACAACACATTTTGTTGCAGTTCTTTGTATTCTTTCAAGGAGATTAGAGTCTCTCTTGAGTGTTGGAGGAGCCACCGTATTGAAGACCTCTAGGTGCGGCCGCACGTAGGATTTGAAAATGGTGAGGAAGAGTTCGGGAGTGAGGGCGCCAAGCTGTCTACGCAGAAAGTGTAGAATGGCGTTCGCTCTGGTTGTCATACCTTTGTAGTTGGAGCTGGTGTCCAAGGTGTCGGAGAAGTTGAGCCCCAAATCTTTCTCCATGGACACTCTGGTGATAGCACGGTTGCTCAACATGTACTGGAAGTCGGTCGTACTTGCCTCATTTTTACTGATGTGCATTACTTTGCACTTTTCCAGTTGAAGCTCAGGCCATTTTCCGACGACCAGAGCTCGAGTTGCTGCAAGTCCTTTTGTAGTGCTGCACAGTCGGCTTCTTCGTTTACCACCCTCCAAATTTTTATGTCGTCAGCGAAGAGGAGGATGGGTGAGGATATTTTGTCTGGCAGATCGTTGACAAACAGGAGGAACAGAAGCGGTCCTAGGATTGCTCCTTGGGATACTCCTGACGTCGACGGTCTCCACTCCGACCTTATTCTGTTCACTTTAGTGCAGAACTGCCTCCCTTCCAGGTACTCCTTGAACCAAGAGAGTAGGGGTCCACTTATACCAGCTGACATGATCTTGTGAAGCAGTACTGTGGGTGGGACACTGTCAAATGCTTTGGCTAGGTCGAGAAATACAACATGTACAGGTTTTCTATTATCCCAGCTTTGTGTCCAGTCGTCCCAGGCGGTTAGTAAGTTGGTGGCACATGAGCGACCACTACGAAAGCCGTGCTGAGCAGTGTGGACAGTGTTTTCCCTATTGAGGAATTCCCAGATGGTGTCAGCTACCAGGCTTTCCAACACTTTCGACACAATAGGGAGTAGGGCAATCGGCCTGTAGCTGCCAGGGCTTTTTCTGTCTCCTCCCTTGAAGATGGGTGACAAGATGGCGCTCTTCCATTCTTTAGGGAGTTTGCACGAGTCTATTGAGTGCTCAAAGAGGTTGCGAAGTGGTTTGGTAAGCACCTCGGCGCAGTTTTTCAGAACCACTGGTTTCAGGTTATCGCAGCCAGGGGACTTGCCCGGACGTAGCCTAGATAGCTTCTCGAACACCTTTTTCTCTGTAATAGAGACGTGACAGAGGTATTCGTTATTTGCGACCTGGTCGGTGTCGTGGCGAGTCGGTGTGGATCTTGTGTCAGTGCTGAGTTGGGCTTGGAAGTGTGAGCTCAAAAGCTCGGCAATCTCTAGACTGCTTAGCACACTCCCGTCATGGCCTGTGACAAGATTCACTCCCTTACTGGTCGACTTTCTTCTTGACATGAAGCGGTACAGGTTTTTGGGGTTGCTTTGTAACCTCGCTGCCAAGTTTGTTTGGTAGGAAAATCTGTCGTTACGCACTCTAATGTTACAGAGATTGCGAATCCTTTTGTAGTTCAAGAAGTCAGACTCCCTGCGTGATGTGCGCCACTTGAACCAAGCCTGCTTCTTGCTCCGGATAAGCCTCTCTGTCCCACGCTTTAACCATGAGGTTCTCATTGATTGTCTGTGTGTTACTTCTGGTACACTGTGACTGATGGCCCCAGTGATTATTTTCTTCACCTCCAACCAGTGTTCATCTATTGTGAGATGAGTCCAGTCCACTGGCCATGATGCATTCATGAGGTAGTCCCTCATGGTCTCATAGTTGGCCTTGCTGTAGCAAGGGAAGGTGTTGGCGTCTCCAGTTGCAGAGCCTCCCTAGTTATCATGGAGAAGGTGATTACAGCGTGGTCACTGAGGCCAAGGGGAGGTTGGATGCAAACATCCTCAATGAGAAGTTCATCGTTCGTCAGAACGTAGTCAAGGCGCGATGCGTTTCCGTTAGGTCCCCAGCGTGTAGCATCACCCACTTTCTCTGAGAGGCCAGCAGTCTTAATTGCATCCTTCAGCTTCTGATTGAAGGATCTGATGCGTCTCCCTTCCGTCTCGAAGAGGATGGACGGGGTGTTGAAGTCGCCGGCAATGACTACGGAATCGTAATTTGCAGAGGAAGTCGTTAAGATAGCCTTGATGATCATTTCCTTATGTGTAGGGGAGCAGGTGGGGGACCGATATATGACTCCGAGCAGGTATTTGGTACTGTGGAGAGTGAAGTAGCACCATAGGGACTCTGGGAGCTGGGTTAAGGCCGTATCGCTAACCATCCTTGCCTTTAAACAGAGTTTACGTAGATAGCCACTCCCCTCCTGCTCTATGTTCCCTGTCCCTGCGGAAGAGTTCCATGCCAGTAACATGCATCTCTTCGTCGGAGATGTCTGGCGAGAGCCAGGATTCGGTGATGAATATGATGTCGGAGTGCTGATGTGCACGCAGCGTCCTCATTTCTGCTACCTTCCCTCTTAGCCCCCTAACGTTGCTGTACATACATATTAGAGTGTGCCTGGTGAAGGGGAGGTCTGGTTGTGTATTTTCGCAGGATGAAGCTTATGTGGTTGGGTCTACCCTCGCCAGTCCTCATAGGACTGGCATTGTTCCGTTTTTTGGTGTTTTGTTATTAACTTGGGTGGGGGCTGTGGCAGTGGTGGCTTCTTTACTTGATGTATCTAACTCACTGGTCAGCGCCTGTGTGACGACCACTGACTCCAGAGGTCTTGGTGGTTGTCGTCTCTCCTCTTGCCTTGTGGGTCTAGGCTTACTTTCACATATACGTATTGAGCCACCCATGCGATCCTTCGCATTATACCATGCCTGTAGAACGTCTGTGAGGGAGGCATATGAGTCGAACTGGACGGCGAGTAGTCTGGGATTGGGTATGGTCTTCAGGTGCGCTGGCCTTGGCAGTCTACTGACGCTGTTGGCCGGTATACTGTCGAGACCAACTTTGGTTGAGAGCGGGCGTAGAAAACTGATAGTTTTCGATCTCTCGCATCTAGTTCTTAGTGCTTTGTAGTTTATTCGCAAACAGTAGCTTGGTTTGTGTTTTCCGTTTGTAATTCCTGTTCTTGTGGGCACCTGCAAGTAAGTGTCAAGCGTTACTAAAAAGCGATAGAAACAGGGTGAGTGGGGAACGAGAAAGGGAGGAGTGAAAAATACTTGTGAAAACACCAATGTGGCTGGTAATAGTACGTAGGAGAGATGCGTCTTACTGCGGATACTAGGGTTGGGGAATACAAAGGTGGAAGGGCGTATCATCAGCTGCTACCGACAGATGTTCGTGGTAAGCTATTTGCGCTCACATACTCACCCAGTAGTCTCCTGAAGAAGTTGGCTGAGGTAGCTGTGGCCACTTCCTTCGGCAGAGCTTTCCGTAAGGCACATACTCTGTGGGGGAAGTTAGATCTCACTCTCATCTTTGCCCTATGGTGAGGTATGTGAGTGGGGTCCCCACAGGACTGTCGATTTTGGACTAGCAACGTTGTCCTAGTTGGGTGGTCCACTTGGTGAATTACCTTGTAGGCCACAATCAGGTCACCTCGTTTCCTTCAATAACTTAGTGTGAACAAGCTGAGTTGTCTGAGGTGTTGTGCATTTGTTTTGCCTGTTAGTTCGTCAACCGAGTTTGCTGCTCTTCTTTGTACCTTCTCGAGAGTATTTGAGTCTCTCTTTTGTAGTGGGGGGGGATCGTGATGGACACCTCTAGGTGTAGTCTAGCATAGGTTTTGAATAACATGAGTAGTAATTCTGAGATTAACAATTCAAGCTGCTTTCTCAGAAGGTGCATAATGGCGTTCGCTTTTTCTGCCATTCCCTTATAATTACCAGTTGTATCTGGTGCGTCAGAGAAGTTTAGTCTTAGGTCCTTCTCTGTAGATACCTTGGTGATTGCGCGCCTGTTAAGAGCGTAGCTGGTTTTCATCGCCTCTAGTGTGTGAAGATGCACCACCTTGTA